TTAAAATTGAAAAACTGAAGAACCGAAATATTGAGAAATCGTAAAACTGAAACATAGGAAGATTGAGAAATCGAAATTTTGAAAAATCGAGAAATTAAGAATCGGTACATTGAAAAATTCCTTAATTGAAAAATGGATGAAAAATTGAACAATCGCAAAATTGAAAAATGCCAAACGGGAAACATCGAAAAATTCAAAAATCGAAAAATCGAAGAAAATTAAAAAAATCGAAATACTGAAAATCCAACAAGCTGAAAAATCGAAAAATTGAAGAATTGAAAAACTGAAAACTCGCAATATTTAAAACTCAAAAACTCATATAATCGTAAAATTGAAAAAGCGAAAAATCTTAAAAATCATTATTTAAAATGACTAGAAAAATTGCAAATCAAAATTCTAACAGTTGAAAAATCCAGAAATTGAAAATTTTCACTTTAAAAAAACAATTAGAAAATTGATAAAACCGAAAAATTGAAAAAATAAAGTAAACAAAAACCGAAACGAAAAACTGCAAATTGAAAAATTTAATAAAATGAAAAATAAAAAATTCTAAACTCGTGAAATTGTCAGATTGAAAAATTACATCTAAAATGTTGGGAAAATCGAAAAATTGAAAGATTTAAAAATGAAAACTGCAAGAATTACATATAAATTGAATTAAAAATTGAAAAATTGAAGAAATTAAAAAATGAAGAATCGAAAAATTAAAAACTCGAACAAGTGAATCCAATTTTTAGATTTTTGAAAGTTTTCATTTTATGAATTTTCAGTTTTACAATTTGTAATTTTTTTATTCACCAAAGTTGAAAATTGAAAAACTGCTAAATCCAAAAAGTGGAAAATGGAAAAATTGCAAGTCGGAGAATTAAAAAAACCAACAACCGAGAAATTTAAAAACTGAAAACAAAAAAAATTAATCGAATCGAAAATTTGGAAAATCCAGAAAATAAAATGGAAGAATTATGGAGTTACTATGGAGTTAATCAGAGATTAAATTTGATTTGCGTTTATGCAACCGGCCCTAAGACTTATTTTGCGAAATGACATATCCTCTGAGAAAATGGGGAGCGGGTGGGTGGGGCTAGTACTTGGTAAAATACGACTGATTTTGGCAAATGACATATCCTCTGAGAAAACAGGGGGCGGGTGGGTGGGGCTAGTACTTGATAAGATATGACTGATTTTGGCAAATAACATACCCTCTAAGAAAGTAAAGGGTGGGCGGGCGGGGCTAGTACTTGCTAAGATAAGACTTATTTCGGTAAATGACTTATCCTCTGAGAAAATACGCACCCGCCCTCTATTTTCTTAGGTGCTACGTGATGTGTCAAAATTTAGTCTTATCTTATCAAATACTAACTGCCCCCCACCCGCCCTCTATTTTCTTAGCCGCTATGTGATGTGCCAAAATCAGTCTTATCTTATCAACTACTTAAGCCTAAATTTAATTTTCCAAGTTTTTAATTCATTTTCGAGATTTTGCAATTTTTCGATTTGATTTTCTTGAGTTTTCAATTTTTAATTTTTTCGTTTGCGATTTTTCGTTTCGGTTTTTATTTTCTTTATTTTTACAAATTTTCAATTTTTCAATGTTCCGATTTTATAATTTTTTCAGTTTCACTTTTTTTTATTTCTCGTTTCGTCAGTTTTTCAATTCGCATTTTTTCGGGTTTTTTTTTCTTTAGTTTTACGATATCTTCTCGAGTTTTCATTTTTAAATTTTCCAGTTTTCCGACTTTCCAACTTTTGGACGTTTCAATTTTTAGATTTAAAATTTCACGAATTTTCAATTTTTTAGTTTTTCATTTCTTCAGTTTTTCGGGAAAAAGATTTTGGCAAATGACATACCTTACGAGAAGAGGGGGTGGGTGGGCGGGGCTAGTATCTGCCACGATAAGAGTGATTTTGGCAAATGACACCTTCCAAGAAAAGGGAGGGTGGGTGGGCGGGGCTAGTACCTGCTACGATAAGAGTGATTTTGGCAAATGAGATACTCTCTAAGAAAAGAGAGGGCGGGAGGGCGGGTTAGTAGCTGCTAAAATAAGATCGATTTTGGACATGGAACACCCAGAACAATCAGTCTTACCTTAGCAAGTACTAGTCCCGCCCACCCGCCCCCTATATTCTTAGAAGGTGTTCATTAGCCAAAATTAGTCTTATCTCAGAAGGTACTAGCCCCGCCCACCCACCCTCTCTTTTCTTAGAGAGTCTATCATTTGCCAAAATCACTCTTATCGTAACAGATACTAGCCCCGCCCACCCACCCTCTCTTTCTTGGAAGGTATGTCATTTGCCAAAATCGATCTCATTTTACCAGGTACTAACCCCGCCCATTGTGACATTGAAACATCAAAAAAATATAAAAACTGAAAAATTGAAAGTTCTAGAAACCGAAAAATCTAAACTTTTAAAAATTGAAAAAACAAAATATCGAAAAAAAGAAAAATGGAAAATCGAAACATCAAATAATTGAAAAACTAAAAAATCTAAAGTGTTAAAATTGAAAAACTGAAAAATCGAAAAAGTTAAAAAATGGAGAAATTGTTAAATGGGAAAGTCGAAAAATTGAACTACTGAAAAATCTCAAGAGTAAAATATCGAAAAATTGATTAATAGAAGAAAACCACAACTATGGAAAAATTGAAAATTTTTAAAATCGAAAAACTGAAGAACCGAAATATTGAGAAATCGTAAAACTGAAACATAGGAAGATTGAGAAATCGAAAATTTGAAAAATCGAGAAATTAAGAATCGGTACATTGAAAAATGGATGAAAAATTGAACAATCGCAAAACTGAAAAATGCCCAAACGGGAAACATCGAAAAATTCAAAAATCGAAAAGTCGAAAATTAAAAAAGTCGAAATACTGAAAATCCAACAAGCTGAAAAATAAAATAAATGAAGAATTGAAAAACTGAAAACTCGCAATATTTAAAACTCAAAAACTCATAATCGTAGCACTGAAAAAGCGAAAAATCTTAAAAATCGTTATTTAAAATGACAACTAGAAAATTGCAAATCAAAATTCTAACAGTTGAAAAATCCAGAAATTGAAAATTTTCACTTTAAAAAAACAATTAGAAAATTGATAAAACGGAAAAATTGAAAAAATAAAGTAAGCAAAAACCGAAACGAAAAACTGCAAATTGAGAAATTTAATAAAATGAAAAATAAAAAATTCAAAACTCGTGAAATTGTCAGATGGAAAAATTACATCTAAAATGTTGGGAAAATCGAAAAATTGAAAGATTTAAAAATGAAAACTGCAAGAATTACATATCCCAAAATTGAATTAAAAATTGCAATCGAAAAATTGAAGAAATGAAAAAATTAAAAATTATAAAATCGGATCTTTGAAAAATCAAAAATTTGAAGAAATTAAAAAATGAACAGTCGAAAAATTAAAAACTCGAATAAGTGAATCCAATTTTTAGATTTTTGAAAGTTTTCATTTTATGATTTTTCAGTTTTACAATTTATAATTTTTTTTTATTCGCAAAGTTGAAAGTTGAAAAACTGCTAAATCCAAAATGTGGAAAGTGGAAAAAGTGCAAGTCGGAGAATTAAAGAAACTAACATTCGAGAAATTTAAAAATGGAAACAATAATGAATTTAAAAATTGAAAAGAAAAAAATTAATCGAATCGAAAATTTGGAAAATCCAGAAAATAAAATCGAAGAATTATGTAATCGTCAAAATTCTAACACCGTAAAATTGAAAAAGTGAAAAATCTTAAAAATCATTATTGCAAAAAAATTGCAAATCAAAATTCTAACAGTTGAAAAATCAAAAAATTGAAAAATCCAAAAATTGAAAATTTACACATTAAAAAAAAACAATCAGAAAACTGAAATAATGAAGTACTTAAATAAAAACCGAAACGAAAAATTGCAAATTGAAAAACTAACTAAATGAAAAATAAAATAAAAAATTCAAAACCCGTGAAATTGCCGAATTGAAAAATTACATAATCTTAAAATTGAAACATGGGAAAATCGTAAAACTGAAAGATTTAAAAATGAAAACTGGAAGAATTACATATCCTAAAATTGAATTAAAAGTTGAAAAATTGCAAATCGAAAAATTAAAAACTCGAATAAGTGAAAAAGTTCTAGCATCGAATAAAAAGAAAGTAGGAAAAATTTCAAAAATCGAGGAATTAAAAAACCAAAAATTGAAAAATCGGAAAATTTAATAAATAAAGAAAATAAAAAATTGAAAACTCGAGAAACTCAAGTGGAAAAATTTTAAAATCTAAAAACTGAAACATTAAAAAATGAAAACTGGAAGAATTACATAAGTAATCTAAAATTGAAAAAAAATTGTAAATCGAAAAACTGAAATATTGAAAATGAAAAAATAAAAAGTTATAAAATCGTAACATTGAACAAACGAAAATTCGAAGAAAATAGAAATTGAAGAATCGAAAAATTAAAAACTCGAATAGGTGAATCGAATTTTAAGATTTTTGAAAGTTTTCAATTTATGATTTTTTTTTGAAAAACTGCAAAATCCAAAAAGTGGAACATGGAAAAATTGCAAGTCGAAGAATTACAGAAACATTGAAAAACAATCGAGAAATTTAAAAATGGGAAAACATTAATGAATCGAAAAATTGAAAAGAAAAAAAATGAATCGAATCGAAAATTTGGAAAATTCGGTGTGCCGGGATAAAAAACTCGTTTTGGAATTAAATTTTCTAGAATTTTTCGATTCTTGATTTATCCCATAATTTTTGTTTTCATATTAATACCGGCTGTAGGGTCCAAATTCTAACACATTTTTCTATCTTTAATAATTAAAATTCTTATTTCATAAAAAAGATGTAAGACATTTTTTTATTTTTAATACGTTAACTGACGGAATTTTATTTTGTCATTATTATTTCTTCGCCTCGGAAACACAATAAAACATACCTAGGCCTTGTATATTTGGTTGCCTAAAATTAAATTTTTTAAGTATCATTCATATGTACAAAATTCACGGCAGACTTAAAAGCTTTAGTTATTTTTTAAAATTTTATTTTTAAATTTTAATACTTATTATACACAAACAAAGTATATCACGCTCCAAGAGATGGTAAGTTGAGAATTTTTCTTACAGCTTGCCCATATTGTTCTACAGTATGATCACTTTCACCTGAAACACCATTAATGGTTTTCTATAAACACTAAAACTGAAAATTAAACACCAATCATACCCTCATTCATATATTTATCCACTGCACTAGAATACACCTCAATTTGAGGTATGTCTTTGGCTTCTTTACCAAATATCTTCTCAACATTGACTTTCGAGGCATTATTTTCCCAAATATAGTACTCCATGTCAGCTTCACTCTTCAGTTCCTCCCAGGGCTCAACATTCTACAACACTCCATTAAAAAAAAATTTCAAACCCAACCCAAAAATTACCCAAGACTCATGATACACCGCCGTAATCAAATACATCGCATAATCATAATTCTGCTTCTTCAACGGACACCTATCCGCTACAATCGTCACAGTGTCACTCTCCTCATCATACCTATCCCCCACCAGCCTCAAAAACTTATCCCTAGCCCTCGCGTCCAACTTCAACGCTTCCAACTTAACCTTCACACTCACGATCCTTGCTAGAGGATCCCGAATCGTCGGCGACGAATGACAATAGTCGCTTGACGACACCTCGACGGGAAAGTGCCTCTCACACTTCTCCTCACTGTCTAAACTCTTCGGCCACGGCGTACAAAACTTCTTCAAAGCCTCGCACTGTCGCTTAATCACTGGGGGCGTTAAATGTAAGAAATTCGGGATTTTCATCAACTCGGCGTTGCCGAATTTGCCCGGCGAAACCCCCTTTTCGACGTACCCTTGTCGCACGGGCAAGGGGACTGTCGCTGGGTGGAAGGAACGGGGCCCTGGCCAGACGTTGCCCCAGTCTTGGTTTTCCGCCATTTGTTGGGTTCGAGGAGGCGGCGGCACGATTTTCTTAAGGGGGCGCCTAGGGGCCACTTGGCCTTTTACATGTTTGAGATTGAGGACGCGGAATTCTTCTAAAATTGGGGGTTAAGTGTGACATAACCTAATTTTGGTGGCGTACCTTCCCGCTGGGGTTCCGTGGACGTGGCATATGTTAAAGCTAGTTGTTTTTCGAGGGTACGGAAAAAGAGTTTGTCGAGATTTCGGGAGAAAAGTAGCATTTTCGAGGCGGTTTTTGTACATGTGATGGTTAGAATGACAACAAATGGTGGCGCCCTCTGGTGGGGTGTGGCGCGGTTTGTGTTGTGATTTTATTAACATTGTTGATAAATTGGTTAATAATTATTGTTGATTACATGAGAGAAGGTTATATATAACTAACAAAGCAAAAATTGTTGGTGGAAGGATGGTAATAATTATTGTTTAATTGATTTTGTGTTGACTTGCTGGATGACACATGTCATGTTTAAACGATCCGCCAATCAGGAGCGCGAATGATGATTTATGTACAGGTTATGTTTGTTCGGTTTTTTAATTGAGTTTATTTTAAGTGGAACAAGTTTAGTGGAAGCTGCAGATATTAATTTGAAAGATTTGTAGGGTAAGTTTTTATAATTTTTATTATATCGACAACGCGAAATGTGAAGGTCGGTTTAAGATGGCGATTTTTTGCTTGTTTTTTTTAAGAGGGCGGTTTTTTGAAAGTTGCTTAAGAGAGGGCGGTACTTGACATTTTTGAATGCGGTGTTTGATAAGTTTTTAGGTAATTTAAATCCAACAGTTTGAATATAACAAGTGACTTTTTTGCTTTTTATTAATGTGCGATGTATTCCTAATATTTTATTTTGTTTTTTTCTTTCACTTAACAGAAAAAGGTGTGTTTAGAAAGATAATAAAAAAACATCAATTATGTATCAGGTTGTTACACATTAGTGTCATAAATGCACATACTCGAATAATTCAATTATAATGTCAGTAACACTTGTTGACAAATTTGGTAAAAGAAACAGGAACAAGGTTATAAAACTATCTGTTTGTCTAATCGAAATTTATAAAACTAAGGACACTTTTTGTGCAGATTTTAAAAATAAAACAAGCTTCAGCGAAGAAACGTTTCATAAAGAAACAATTGTGTGGATGTATGTTTGAAATAAGTACGTTTTTCAGGTATTAAAAAAAAAGGAAATTCGGTGAGAAAATAAAGTTTAGATTAAAAGATAATTACGTAATTTAGAGAAGAAATAACACAATACATGTTTGCTGCAGCGTTGCGTGGTAGATACATACATAATTACAATTCTTAGAAATATTCATTGTTTTTGTTTATGTAAAGAAATTACTCAATAAAGTAAAAAATTATCTTAAACCAAGGTTTAATGACTACATGTTTGGGTCTTGAAATATGTTTACAATATAGTTTAAAAGTTTTAAAATGTTATTACTTTGGAATAAATTCTCGTTGAAAAAGTTGCTATTTTTTGTGTACTTGAGATTCACCATAGAGATACTGGGTGTCTGGAAAACTCTTCAGTACGTTATGTACGAAGGTTTCGGGAGTTCCAAAAAAAAAATATATATATATAAAAACATTCTTTATGATGTAGATTACGAAAAAACGTAATTTTATAAAAGTAAAATTGGCAACACTCCACTTAGAGGGTGTGTCATCGACTTCGATTTCTCGATTTTTGAATTTTTCGATGTTTCCCGTTTTGCATTTTTCAATTTTGCGTTTGTTTAATTTTTCTTCCATTCTTCAATTTAGGGATTTTTCAATGTATCGATTCTTAATTTCTCGATTTTTCATATTTTCGATTTCTCAATTTTCTCATGTTTCAGTTTTACGATTTCTCAATATTTCGGTTATTCAGTTTTTCGATTTTAAAATTTTCCAAGTTTTTCCGGTTACAGTTTTGGGATTTTTTTCAATTTTCGATTCTTCAATTTGTGGACTTTTCCATTTTACAATTTCTCCACTTTTTAACTTTTTAGATTTTTCGGTTTTTATCAATTTTAACATTTTAGATTTTTTAGTTTTTCGATTTTTTCATGTTTCGATTTTCCAATTTTTCATTTTTTCGATATTTTATTTTTTCAATTTTTAAAAGTTTAGACTTTTCGATTTCTAGATCTTTCAATTTTTCAGTTCTTCCATATTTTTATTTACAATTTTAATTTTTTTTGATGTTTCGATGTGACGACGGGTGGACGGGGTTAGTACCTGCTAAAATAAGATCGAATTTGGCAAATAACATACCTTCCAAGGAAGAGAGGGTGGGTGGGCGGGGCTAGTACCTGCTAAGGTAAAACTGATTGTTCTGGGTGATCCATGTTACTTACCAAAATCGGTCTTATTTTAGCAGCTACAAGCCCCGCCCCCTCACCCTCTCCTTTCTTAGGTGGTATGTCATTTGTCAAAGTCAGTTTGATTTTTCAATTTTTCAATTCTTAATTTTCTCGACTCTTCAAATTTTCGATTTCTCGATATTTTTTATTTACCACTTTCTTAATTGTTCCATGTTTGGTAATTAAATTTTTCGACTTCAACTGTTCGATTTTTAAATTATTCAATTTTAAAATTTTTTAGTTTTTGTCGTTTCTAAATTTTCAATTTTTCGATTTTTTAATTTCGCGATTAATGGATTTTTTGAATTTCCCATTTCTCGACTTTTTGAGTTTTAAATATTGCGACTATTTAGTTTTTCAATTTTTCAGTTTCTTGGATTTTCAGTGTTTCGATTTTTTAAATTTTCGACTTTTCGAGTTCGATTTCTCGATTTTTGAATTTTTCGATGTTTCCCGTTTGGCATTTTTCAATTTTGCGTTTGTTCAATTCTTCTTCCATTTTTCAATTTAGGGATTTTTCAAGGTATCGGTTCTTAATTTCTCGATTTTTTCAAATTTTCGTTTTCTGAATATTCTTATGTTTCAGTTTTACGATTTCTCAATATTTCGGTTCTTCAGTTTTTCGATTTTAAAATTTTTCAATTTTTCCATGTTACAGTTTTGGGATTTTTCAATTTTCGATTCTTCAATTTTTCTTCTATTTATCGATTTTTCGATATTTTACTTTTGAGATTTTTCACTAGATCGATTCTTCAATTTTTCAATTTGTGGACTTTTCCATTTTACAATTTTTCCATTTTTTAACTTTTTCGATTTTTCGGTTTTTTCAATTTAACATTTTAGATTTTTTAGTTTTTCGATTTTTTGATGTTTCTATTTTCCAATTTTTCATTTTTTCAATATTTTATTTTTTCAATTTTTAAAAGTTTAGATTTTTCGATTTCTAGATCTTTCAATTTTTCAGTTCCTCCATATTTTTATTTACAATTTTTCGATTTTTTTTTTTTGATGTTTCGATGTCACGACGGGTGGACGGGGTTAGTACCTGCTAAAATAAGATCGATTTTGCCAAATGACATACCTTCCAAGAAAGACAGTGTGGGTGGGCGGGGCTAGTACCTGCTACGATAAGAGAGATTTTGGCAAATGAGATACTCTCTAAGAAAAGACAGGGTGGGTGGGCGGGGCTAGTACCTGCTAAGATAAGACTACTTCTGGCGAATGAAATACCTTCTAAGCAAATAGAGGGCAGGTGGGCGGGGCAAGTACCTCCTAAGGTAAGACTGATTGATCTGGGTGTTCTACGTCATTTGCCAAAATCGGTCTTATTTTAGCAGCTACTAGCCCCGCCCACCGCCCTCTCTTTTCTTAGAGGGTAGATCATTTGCCAAAGTCGATACTACTAATCCCGTCTACCTGCCCTCTATTTTCTTAGAGAGATTTCAGTAGCCAAAATCAGTCTCATTCTAACAGGTACTAGCCCCTCCCACCCACCCTCTCTTTTCTTGGAAGGTATGTCATTTGCCAAAATCACTCTTATTGTAGCAGGTACCAGCCCCGCCCACCCACCCTCTCTTTTCTTAGAGGGTAGATCATTTGCCAAAATCGATACTACTATCTGCCAACCCCGCCCATCAAAAAATATAAAAATTCAAAAATTGAAGAATTGAAAAATTTCACAATGAAAAAAAAGAAAAATGATGAAATCAGGATATTGAAAAACCGAAAAAATGAATAAATAATGAAAATAAAAATTTAAAACTCGAGAAACTGAAATCGAAAAATTACAAAATCTAAAAATTGGAATGTCAAAAAGTTGGAAAATCGAAAAACTGAAAAGTTTAGAAGAATGAAAGAATTACATATTCTAAAATTGAATTAAATCGCAAAATTCAAGAAATGAACTATTGAAAATGAAAAAATTAACAATTATAAAATCGGATCATAAAAAATCGAAAATTTGAAGAAAGTAGAAAATGAACAATCGAAAAATTGAAAAATTTTAAATCGAAAAAAGAAAAGAGTTTTAGAATCAAATAAAAAAAGTGGGAATTCACCAATTGAAGAATTGAAAAATTTCATATTGAAAAAAAAAGAAAAATTATGAAATCAGAATATTGAAAAACCGAAAAAATGAATAAATAAACAAAATAAAAAATTGAAAACTCGAGAAACTCAAATCTAAACACTGAAAAATTTAGAAAACTGGAAAAATTATATATCCTAAAATTGAAGTAAATCGAAAAATTAAAAAAATGAATGACTGAAAATGAAAAAATGAAAAATTATAAAATCGGAGCATGAAAAATCGAAAAATGGAATTCCGTACAGTAATTTTGCTTTTTACAGAGTGGAACGGCAAGGTAATTTTAAAAATGTTTGCAAAAACTTATAGCAATAATAAAAAAAATTGGTCGAAGCTTATTTCAAGAGAACTTCCCTCGCCCCTGAAGTCCAGCCAAATAAATCCCACTTCTCTGAAAAATTATCACTTTTTTTGCGCTTTTTGTTTTCTGATAAGCTCTATTTTTCTTCAATTTTCCATTTTTTTGTTCCTTCATTTTTTCGAGTTTTGAAGTTTAAATTTAATTTTTCAACTTTTAAATTCAATTTCTAGATTTTGCAATTTTTCGACTTGAGTTTCTTGAGTTTTCAATTTTTAATTTTTTCATTTTCAATTTTTCAATGTTTCGATTTTATAATTTTTTGTTTATTCAGTTTCACTTTTTTTATTTCTCGTTTCGTCAGTTTTTCAATTTGCATTTTTCTGGTTTATTTTTTTTTCTTTAGTTTAACGATATCTCTTCGAGTTTTCATTTTTAAATTTGAAATTTCACGAATTTTCAATTTTAATTTTTCAATTTTTAGATTTTTTAGTTTTTCATTTCTTCAGTTTTTCGAGAAAAGCGAGAAAGTTTTTATACATGACATGGAACACCCAGAACAATCAGTCTTACCTTAGCAGGTACTAGCCTCGCCCACCCGTCCTCTATATTCTGAGAGAGATTTCAGTAGCCAAAATCAGTCTCATTCTAGCAGGTACTAGCCCCGCCCACCCACCCTCTCTTTTCTTGGAAGGTGTCATTTGCCAAAATCACTCTTATCGTAGCAGGTACTAGCCCCGCCCACCCACCCTCTCTTTTCTTGGAAGGTATGTCATTTGTCAAAATCGATACTACTAATCCCGTACACCTGCCCTCTATTTCCTTAGAGAGATTTCAGTAGCCAAAATCAGTCTTATTCTAGTAGGTAGTA